ATCCCAAAAGACTGGGCTATGGCAATTATTGTTCTGATATATAAGAAAGGGCAAACGAAGGATCCTACCAACTGTTGCCCAGTTAGCTTCCTGAACATAGTAAAATGCATGCAGATGAATGTTTATATGCTTCATATATAAATATTTATGAGTTTCACATATGAAAAACCCCTATGGATTGAACAGAAGATTATAGCATCTTAATGGAAGAACAAGCAGGGTTTAAACAAGATAGATGCACAGTTGATCAAGCAATGATCCTATACCGCCTAGCAGAAAAAAATGCCCATAGCCTTAAAATCCCATTGCATGCAGCCTTCACAGACTTAAAATCAGCTTTTGATACCATATCAGGAGAAATTCTATGGAAGAGATTGTTGGCCACCCATATAAAGAGAAGACCCCTTTTATTAATGATCTCTACAGTCATACTGGCCTGAGAGCTAGGTGCAATGCTCAAGGTCAATACTGTGAACCAGTGTTTCTCAACCTTGGCAACTTCAAGATAAGTGGACTTCAACTCCCAGAATTCCCCAGCCACCCATGCTGTAAACTGATTCAATCCCTCTAACCCCAGATGTTTAACAAGGATTTGTCTTTGCTCCACTGCTTTTTAATTTTTATAACAACTTGATAGTCTCTTACCTTAACAACCGGGATTTTCATCCCCCTAAATTAGCTGAGAGGCATATCGCAATCCTCCTTTATGCGGATAAGGTTATCCTTTCACAGCTGTTGCGAAGAACTCTAAAAGCACTCATACACTATTGTGAAGACTGGGAACTGTTAATTAACTACCAGAAAACAAAAGTAATGACCTTTACTAGGAAAGCAAAAGAGTATAATTAGTTCATTAACAGTAACAAAATTGATCAAGTCAAATCTTTTAACTATTAAGGTACAACCTTGCATAAATCTAGGAGGGAGAAGTTCATCTGAATTACTTATCCCAAATGGCTTAAATAAGCAGTATGGCCATTTTCTCTTTTTCCAATTCCTGGGATGGGCAGTACATCCCCACTGCCCCAAGACGATATGAAGCCAAAGTAATGGCACAACTACTTGATGATGTGCTGTTGGGGCCCTATACAAAATTTGCCCCAGTAGATGTACTAATGATGACCATGTTATTGCAAAAATGTATAAATGTTTGCTGAAATATGAGATAGAAGAACAAGCGAAAGAATGTATGATAAAATGGACTAAAAAAATTGGCTACAATATATAAATGAATCAATGGGAAAATATGTGGTTCAAAGGATTGAAATTTACATTATCTTCTAGCCTTAAAGAGAATGTTTATAATATGATGTATCGTTGGTATTTGTCACCAGAGAAATTGTCTAGAATATATAAAGGTACTTTGAATCTTTGCTGGAAATGTGAACAACATGAAGGGACATTTTTCCATGTTTGGTGGACATGTAAAAAGGCCAAAAAAATTTGGATACAAATTCATACATTAATTCAGAAGATTTTAAAGTTTAAAGTATAGTTGAAACCAGAGACTTTTCTTTTGGGACTAACAGACAGGCAATTAGAAAAAAGTCATGGAACTTTGTTTTTATACATGACAATTGCAGCAAGAGTGTTATATGCTCAAAAATGGAGATTCAACACTACCCACAATAGAGGAATGACTGGTGAAGATGATGGAACTTTTCAGAGATGGCTAAATTAACTTCTTTGATTAGAGAAAAAAAACACAATATCTATATTTATTTAAACCCCTTATAGACTTTTTGCATGAAATGGGGAAAAAAGCACTTATGATTTGTGGCAATAGAAACTGAACAAGAGAAAAAAAGTGAGCTTTTTCTTGTAATCAGAGTAAGAGTTAATTTTGTAATCGTACTTATATTTGCTGCAGCAGAAATTGGATGTTTCTTCTTTTTTTTGTTCTCCCTGCACTTCTTCTTCTTTCTTCTCTTTTTCTTTCTTTGTTTTTCTTACTCTTTATCAGTTCGTGTTAGTTTCTATGTTCTTTGTAAAACTTTTAATAAAATTTATTTTAAAAATTGCCCCAATAGAGGGTACAATATAGATTTTTAAGACTGATTCTGTGAATTCCTAAATGTGTCTCCAGTGTTGCCATAAGAACTGGGAGTTGCAGGAGTGGAGTCTCAGATCTAGATGGTTATTCTCAGATCTTGGCTGAAACTGATGTTTAGCCCAGCTAGATCATTTACCCTAATAATGAGAAACAGCTTACATTCACAGTGGAAATCGAGTATCAGGGCAAATTGGCCCTATATGGCTTTTCATGGGAAGCCCTCCAATCACTGGTCTATGATCAAGCTAGCAAGACCATAAAACAGAGAACCCTTGACACAAAGTGGCAACACGTGATCAGCTTTGGTGCAAGGTAGCTCAAACAATGGTGGTTCTCCTATAGTTCCAGCCCAGGCAACTATTGCTAATTTTTGACAAACTCTACCCAACACAGAGCTTTTTCTCTAACTAGGCTGTGGGCCTTCCCCTCAGCTGTTACTGAGGGTAGACACTACAAGATCCCTTATCTGGAATGGCTCTGCCCTTCGGTTCTCGGGCAATTGAGGATGTGGAATACATTTTATTATACTGTAATTTTTAGGGGGACCTATTAGACATCATACAGAGCCAGTTTGGTATGGTGGTTAAGGCATCAGGCTAGGAACTGGGAGACCATGAGTTCAGCCTAGGCACAAAGCCAGCTGGGTGACCTTGGGCCAGTCACTTTCTCTCAGCCCTAGGAAGGAGGCAAGGGCAAACCACTTCTGACAAACCTTGCCAAGGAAATTGCAGGGACTTGTCCAGGCAGTCTCCGAGAATTGGACACGATTGAATGGATAAAAAAAAAAAAAAAAGACATCGTAATCTTTCCCTTTTTAAAGGATTGCCAGGTAGAGAAGATGAGGGATACATCTTATGTTTTCTCTCAGACTGCCTGACCAATGTTACTTACTCAATTGTAAAATGTTGTGCCGCAGCTATGAAAACTCAATCTCAGCTGATATCCAATATACAAATACACCTATCAAATCCATAGCACCCCCAAGACTGTTAACTGTTCCCTCTGCAATATTAAAGATGAATTTATTGTTGATTGTACAAATATATTTAAATGTGCTCTCAACAGTAAACAACATCTTCTTTTACTTTTTTTTTTTTTGACAATTAACAATTTTGACAATTTTATTTGATTTTAGCACTTGGCACTTATATATTTTCATGGTCCTCATACCTACTGTTCTACTGTTTAGTGTCTTGTATTTTTCTGTCACACTGACTGGTCATTGACCACAATGAACAAACCATGTTCCATTCACACAGTGGGCAAGATTTTGCTGAGTCAGTAGCGGTAATCCCTTCCATTCCTCCCATTTTGAAGCCAGTGCTCTGTTCTTCCCTTTCTCCATGCTTCTCCTCCCCTGATATTTCAAAGTAGCTGCCTGCTTTCTTAACAGCTTTTCAACTCTGTACTTCCAGTAGATACATTCAAGCACCTCTTGACAGGTAGTCCTAGGCAATTGGGACCATGATTTCCATCACCAAGCAATGCAGTCATAAAGCACGATGTCACATGACGATGTCGCTTAGCAACGGCAATCCCAGCAGTGCCAGTTGCTGTTGTAACCATGCAAGTTGTTAAGCAAGGACCTCACATGACTGTGACGTGGGAAGAGGTGGAAGTCCCACGCAAGCAGCCCAATGGGCAAGAGCTATGGGCGTGGGGTGGTGGGTGCTGGGGGTGGGCACTACAGAGCGCAGGTGGGCAGGTGCCTCAGGTGAGTGGGTGGGTGCCACGGATGGGCGCTATGAAGCATGGGTGGGCAGGTGCTGTGGGCAGGTGCTACGGAGTGTAGGCAGGTGAAAAAGTGGTAGGAGTGACTTGCAACCTCCTGCCTGCTTCCCCATTGACTTTACTTGTGGGAAGCTGGCAGAGAAGGTTCCCCATGGTGATCACATGACTGCGGGATACTGCAACCGTCATAACTGCAAGCCAGTTGCCAAGTGCCCAAATTGTGATCATGTGTCTGCGGGGACACTGCGACAACCGCAACTTTGTGGACCGGTCGTAAATCCCCCTCGTTCAGCGCTGTCATAACTCTGAATGGTCACTGAATGAGTGGCTGTAATCTAAGGACCACCTGAATTTAAAAAGTTACTTGAGCTGACTCCTTATCCACCACTCTGCTTTTGAAAGGCCTGAAGTTCAGGATTAGAAGATTGCAATTAAGATAAAGATAGAAAAAAATAGGTTGTGAATTCTATTAAGCTCCCTCAGAATGCCCGTTTTCTAGTCAATTTCACATTCCAATTTAGATAATTTTGTAATTTTTTAGTTGTCTTCAAAAAGCAGAAAGGATTGTCAGTTTGATTTCCATTGCTTATATAAACAGTGTACACTTTCCTCATTTCTTGCATACTTCCAAGAAAATGTATGCAATCCCCATCCAAATTAGTACAACAGTGCACAGATTAGGGAGATTAAAGAGTAGTATTTTCCCCCTTATTCTGACACTGCCCAAGGATAGCCTTGAGATGTATAGTATTTCTGTGAACTCAGTCCCCCATCACCTTGGCGGGAGGTCAGGTGACTCCAGTGATTGGAGGCAGTAGAGGTAAGGTAGCAATCAGCAATGAGGATAACTTAAATCATGCTGGTATTGTTTTCTGCCAATCTCAGGCATCTAGTAAGAACTGTAATGTAATGAAGTAATGAAAAAAAAAAAATGATGAAGCATACATCGAAAAATCAAGAGGGCAGCTGTGACTGCCTGATTGAAATCTCACCAGCTTTTATGCTCATTACATGGGTGACACACATGGGTGACCCATGGGTGACACACACAAAAAAGGGGCAGGGCCTCAATCACATGGTTGTAGCTGCCATCTTGACTTTTTTGACCCCCCATGAGGACACCCCTTAATCACTCTTTTGGTTAATTGGCTTCCTATCTTTTGCATTTGTGTATCTGTGAGAGAAGGCGGAAGAGAGTTTAATGGAGTTTTACGCGTTACTCCGCTTGGAGAGCAGTGAGGATCATCATCTCTTCATAGGCAAATCCTGCTTTCACCAGGCATCCCCAAGGCTCCCAATAGCATTTCCGCCCCACATCCAGGATGGCCACCACAAGCCAGCTATCTAGGTTCAAAGGGTTTGTGTTTTATTCATAAGAGACAAATAGATCATGGACAGGAAGGGAAATACCAGCAACACCAGATCATGGACAGGAAGGGAAACAACAACCGCCCAGAGTCACTCTTGAGTGAGATGGGAGGTGACTAAATTTGAAATATAAATAAATAAATATATTTTTTTATTCTTTCCGTGGATGGATGGGGAGGGATTTCATCAGTTCTGACAGGCAGTGGGGGAGACACCAATGAAGGGTGAGGCAACTGCCAGTGGAGGGTCGCAAAGGTGAGCAACGGTTGGTCAACCTATTCAGAATCATTCCAGCATCTGAAGCTGCCTGGGAGTGACCTAAAACTGGCCTTGTGTTTTGTTCATGGGCAAAGCAGTCAGTACAGCCACCAGAAACGGAAAAATGTTCAGAATAGGGAAAAACCTTTTGCATTGTTATGTTCCAAAACTAGTCATAATAAAGGGTATTTTTTCATAACTTTCTCTTAAATCCACTTCCTCTCTTCAGGCACATCTATGTTTGTGTTGTCAAAGTTTTCTTTCCTATCCAGAATAAACACAACCCAAGAGAATCATTCTGCAGAAAGATTTACTTCAGCAAGGGTTAGAACCAAGACTGACTGACACAGAAACTTGCTAAACCTTACAGCCTTAAAATGATTAGATATCGTTAACTTTTTTCAGTTCTTGGCATTCTAACTATTAGCCCTCTTGCCAAAATATCAGTCCTAGGCCATTTCTGAGAATTTCTGAACCCCTTCCAAACAGCCCTGCTTCCCAACTTGCTGGGAATGCTGAGAATTAAAGTCCCAGCACATCCTGAGGGTGCCATGCTGGAGACCCCAACAGTAGACCAAGATAATATTTGGGAACTTTGTCCATGTGCCTCCACCAACTACAGAGCGAGCTTTTTCATTATTTGCTCCTATGCTATGTTCTCACTGAGCTGCTTAGCCTTTTTCGTTCTTTTGCGCTTTAATCACTGGCCAGTTCACCCAGCTAGGTGGCAGCATTGAGCTAACCTTGGCTATCTCCAAAAACTAGTACTTGCATGGGAGGCCACCAAGAAATACTAGGGTTGTAACCTAGACTGGGCAGTTGAAAAGATGTCCTGGAAGAAGGCAATGAAAGGTCACCTCCATATTGTTGCCAAAGATGGGTCCACAGGTCAGCAGAAACCGGGTTCAACTTGAAGGCGATTTCACCTATTAGACTGAATTTATCCTGCTGCGGGATCATTCTCATGGTGTCAGTGGCACTTTTTAGTATTGTTTACACTTCCCATAAATAGTTAATTGAAGGGCTAAGAATTTTTTGAAAAATCTATATATTTATTATGGTTACTGATTTACTGGGTTCAAGGGGTGGGGCAGGAAGAAGAGACACCAGGCAATCAGCTGAATTAAAACCTGCAGAACCCCGTTATTGTTCTCCTTGAGCAGCTCTGACATTTTTGCTGGGAGGAGAAAGGAAAAAAAGGATCTAAAAGAGCCAGATGTCAATTGAACTATATAAATCAGAAATTTAATTTAAGAATATATGTAAAAAAAATCTGAAAAATGGTGATGGTGAATTACTGGCTTCCCTATCAATTGTGGTCAAGATAAAAGTAAAATGGTTCAAAACTTCTGGAAGATGCATTTGGAGTAAACGTTTAAGATTGTAAGA